GCCCTACCTGGCCGCACACCGGCGCATCCACACCGGCGAGAAGCCCTACGTCTGCCCCGACTGCGGCAAAGCCTTCAGCCAGAAGTCCAACCTGGTGTCGCATCGGCGCATCCACACGGGCGAGCGCCCCTACGCCTGCCCCGACTGCGACCGCAGCTTCAGTCAGAAGTCCAATCTCATCACCCACCGCAAGAGCCACATCCGGGACGGCGCCTTCTGCTGCGCCATCTGTGGCCAGACCTTTGACGACGAGGAGAAGCTCCTGGCCCATCAGAAGAAGCATGATGTCTGAGGGGGCAGGGGCGGCGGGGGCCGAGGGAGGTCGGGCCTGGGCATCATTCATACTGTGCCCTGTGCCACTGCTTGTAGGCAGGGAGGGGAGAGGAGGAGTGAGCCTGCCCCGTTAGAGAGGGGTGTCTTCTACCCCTGCAGTCAGGGAGTCCACTTGCAGAGCAGGGACCCCGGCCTCCAGCTGGTGTTTGCTAAGGTTCAGTCCTGACTGACCTGCGCCCTGGAAAAGTAGCAATAGCAGCTCCACCCACCCCTTAGAGCCCTCCGGCTGGAGGGGCCACCAGTGGACAGGAAGACCCCTCTCGTCTGGTGTTAATGCCTTAATGTCTCTGTCTGTTATGAGTTCCTTCAGCTCGTTTTTTGGAAGTAGGTGTGGTTCAGTCCTTAGTGAATGAGCGCCCAGGAGGAAAAGTGGACCAGATGGATATACCTGGGAGAACCTGCCGGCCTCGGGCAGCACCTGGGCCTTTTCCAGTACTGGGAGGCGAAGCCGAGCTGCTCCAGCCTGCCTCACCACATCCCCTCCGTCCTGCCCCTGCACAGGCACCCAGGTTTGGAGAGAACCATCTACTGTTAGTGCTTGGCTCGCCTTCCTCCCAGAGGATCCAGTCCCCTGCCCTGGGCATCTCCCCACCTGTCTGACTTGCTTTACCCACCAGCCTCCCAGCGCTTAGGGCATCCCCTGGCTGTCAGCCACCCTGCGTCAGGGCTTTTGTCTGAACACCGCAGCCTGCCTTCACTCCCTTCAGAACTCGGCATGTAGTGGGGAGGACTGCCCCGTTGATAACGGAGGGCCAGCTGATGGGAAATGGGGGTGAGTTTCCCCTTCAGCATTTCTAGCGTCTGGATGCCCAGCTTCTGCTTGAATACTTAGGTGACAGGGAGTTTCCCCCCCCCACCCCCCGCAGGCCCTGGTTCTATTGTAGGATAATTCGGATTGTTAGAAATTCTTCCTTATAATGAATGAAGCCTGCTTCCCTGTAATTTCTACTGTTGGGCCTTGTTCTCTGGAACTAAACACAACCACTTATCCTCCTTTTCAAACTAGAGAATAAAGATCTGGTTTTAGAACCGGTGGCTGAGAAGTGTTCCTTTGTCCTGGGGAGATGTGGAGTTGGAGGGAGGGCAGCAGCTCTCCTCCGACAGGGCTGGGCGTTGGGGTGGGTGACAGGCCGAGTGGCCAGCTTGTCAAGCTTCTCTGCACACCCGCCCGTACTTCCCCGGGGTGGGGTCAGGCACACCCAGCAAGTGGGCTTTCCTCTCTAGGGGTCAAGTCAGCCTTGCTCGGTGTCAGTTGTCAGGGAGAAAACGTCTGACTTGATTCTGTCCTGCTGTGCCTCCCTGGCTGGCCTGCTACGGTTCCCGTATCTGTAGCAGATGTGTACGCTTCCCTGCGCTGGTTGCTTCATATGCATTTGAGTGCCTACCTTTGACAGGTATCAATAGGCCCTTTTTCTGTCTGTCTTAGTAGTTTCTGCATAGATTTCCAGCACCTAGCCCAGAGCCTGGTGCAACCACAATTTGTGAATATGATGGCACCTTGCAAAGAAGTTTACTTAAATTATCTAACAATTTAGAGTTCGGCAGGTACTCTTTTTTTACAGATGAAAACATTTGCTCAAGGTCATATAACTGGTAATCACCAGAGGCAATACAAACCCGGGTGTGTTCAACCCAAAACCCAGGCTCTTGACCACCGCTGCATGTTTATTGAGCAACTGCCGTGCTGCTGCTTTTGGTGAAGACAAGTATTAAATGTCTACTGTGTGCTTGATGTGATGGAAACTGGGGCTTTACAAAAATAAGAGTCTTACCCGTAAGAGGCCTAAGTCTGGGGGGACTTACACCTGTACACAAATCGTGAGTGGAGAGAGGTGGATGAGGGTTTGGTGGGGTTCCAAGTGTGTAGGATGGAAGCAGACAGAGCCTTATGTTGCTTTATGGGGTTAGGAGGCCACTTCAAAACCTGTGTAGTTAAAAAAACAAAACAAAACAAAAACCTGTGTAGTTGATGGCAGAATACTCTCTCAGCGCCTGGGAGCATTGTCTCCAGAAATCCTCACTTAAATATGTCTCTCTAAGGAAGCTCAGGGCTTCAAGTGACGGGAGCAGTGCTTTTTGTGGGGTGACGAGGAAAGTAGCTAGATGTCTGGGGATTATGGGCAGGGAACAGGGGACAGGTCCTCAGGCATCCAGGGTTAGGATAGGGGAGGGGAAGGGTGAAGTAGAGGGAATCTGATCAGGGTTCCTGACTTTTCGAAAAATCATTACTTGTAAAGGAAATGCCCAGCATTGTGTCCTCTAATGCTATGCTGTCTGCTGCTTTTGGGCAGAGATGGTGAGGAGAGGACCAAAGTTCAGGGAAAGCCATGGAAGTGGCCTTGAAGGGGCTGGTAATGTAAGAACAGAGTGAACTTGCCCATGGTTCCTCCCCAAGTCTCTTAGGGGGCCAAGTGGGTCCCAAGTCCTTGCTCAGCAGAGCACATGCTGACAGCAGTCTTGAAGGAGGGACTGCCCCGTTCGAGGGGTCAGCCCTTTGCTGACGGGAGCTGCCCTCTTCTAAAGAGTCCAGGTTTGGTTTTTGTTTTTGTTTCTCCTTCTTTTATAATCACAAAAGTATTAAATTATCTTGTCAAAATTAAACAAAGCGGACAAAATTTAGATTTATTTTTTAATGTAAAAGTTCTTTATTTCCCCCACTCCCCCGACCCCATGGCTTTTCTCTTTGAATCCTGTAAAGAGTTTGAGGGTGGCCTTCCAGACATTTTTCCTGTGCATTTGCAAACTCACACGTGCAGCCTCCCCTTTTTTCGCTTAATGGAAATAGGATCCCAGGTGTGCTTCATTTCTTCCATCCTTGAAGTACCCTTGGTCATGAAATGTCAATCTGGAGGAAGTCTTTCACTCTGTGGAAGGAAGAAACAGGCCCAGAGAGTGGAAATGACTTTCCCACTCATAGCCAGTGGCAGATGTGGAGCTACAATGCTGGAATTCCACAAGTCTTGGTTGAACTCTCACTAGGTACTCAGAAAATAAGATGAATGAGACTCTATTTAAAGAGTTGATGGCCTAGTGATTTCTGGCCTCTGGGCAGGGTTTTACACTTTACAAATGCTTCTGTAGAGGATAGAACCAATTAGGGTCCTGCACAAACCCAGTTGTCCCTCAGTATCCTCTGGGGGTTGTTTCCAGGAATCCCCCCACACTCCCCTCCCCGCCCCCCCTTGGATAACAAAATCTTTGGATTCTGGAGTCCCTTATATATAAAATGGCATTGTATTTGCATATAACCTACACACTCATGTCCTCTTGTATACTTTAAATCACCTCTAGATTACTAACAATACTTAATACAGCGTAAATGCTATATACATAGTTCCCTGTGCCTGGGAAAATTCAAATTTTGCTTTTTTGGAACTTTCTGGAGTTTTTTTCCCCCCCCCGAATATTTTCAGTCTGCTGTTGATTGAAATCACAGACGTGGAACCTGTGGATACGGAAGGCCGACTGTAACTAGAAAATTATTAACTCTTACAGATGAATAAGTCAAAGTCCAGGGGCAGAAAGTATCTTTTGTAAAAACTGCACGAGAAGATTGTGGCAAAACTGATAGAATTGGGTCCCCGGTTTCTGTCGTGTTATGAGGCTTAACGGCAGCTGGGCCCATGGCAAACGCTTAGCAGGCAGCTGCTGACCCATTAGAATAAGGTCCATAGGCTTAACAGTAAGGTTTGTAGCAAGTCTCAGAGTGAGGCCAGCTTCTCTTGATATCCACCTCCTGTCCCAAAGCGGTTTCTGGGCAGCTCCGGAGAGAATCTGCCAGTGGGAGTTGCCCTGGCTGGCCGGCCCCCTTTGAGGTAGCAGTGTGAGGAATTTTATTGACATAAAGGAGCATTTCCTTCCGATCTGGGTGAGTAGATGTGAAAATTCTCTTTCCTGTCTCTGGGAACAGAAAACTCTCCTCGGCCATCTGGACCCCGCCTCTAAATCAGCAGTAACACTCGACCTAGGAACGTTGGTCGCTCTTTCCTCAACAAAAAGGGAGGGGTTGGACTTAATGATGTCTAAGTCTCTCCTGGAGACCCCAGGTTCATTTATCACGCGGCTACGACGTGCCTAGGGCCGCGTGAGTGCGGAGGGCGATTTCTCTCCCGTCGCACGAGACTCGCACATCTCACTCTAACACCTGGTGTGCCGTAGTGCCAAGTGCCACAACCATGTCACATGCACACTCGACTGTGATCGGCGGATCGGGGTTCGTGAGTCTTGTTCCCCCGGATCCCGGCACCAAGGGCGGTGCGGGCGCGTCGCAGGCGTCGGACCGAGAGTTGCCGAGCGACTGGATCGGTTTCAGAGCGCGCGTCTGCGCGGCCTGGACGGGGAGGGAGAGCTCCACGGAGAGGAGAGGGTGCTGCCGCGCCGTCGGGTCACCAGCTCTCCGGACTTGCCCCCGCCCCTCCTCCCCTGGGAGACCGGGCCCAGCGCCCCACGGCCAACGCTTTAATGCCTGGCGGGGCCGCGACTGGCCCCTCGGGAGGCGAGGTCAGCCCGCCCACGCAGGCCATTGGCTCCGGAGAACAAAGGAGCCGCCCCGCAGACTTCTCCGATAGGGCTGAGCTGGTCATCTGAGAGGTGCAGCCAATTAGGTGGCGGGGCGGCCCCGGGGACGGCCAGGCCCGCCAGCCAATCAGGGGCGCGTGCCCGCCCCGCCTGCCCCGGGACTGGCGGGGCCGGGGAGCTCAGTGCCCAAGTCGCCCCGGGGTGGCAGTTCCCGTTAACCTTAGCCACAAAGTCAAAGGTATTTATTCCCGTCCCCTCCCTCCGAGTCCCTCTGAATCCGGGCGGGGAGGGGCGTGCGGAGGGACGGACCGTGCCGCGGGGCCAGCGTCCGACCCCGCTCCTCCCGCGCTGTCTCCACCCAGACTCGGGCTGGAGGCGGCCTCGGGGTCCCCCGAGCCCCCCGCGTTCTCAGCCCCGAACTTTACCCCCGCACAGCTCACGGGGAAAGGGGCCCGGGTCGTGCGTGGGAAGGGGCTTCAGGCCGGGTCAGAGCTGGAGCGGGGCGTGAGAGCGGGAGAGGCGCGGAGGTGAGCGCGGGGACTGCCCCCCGGCTCCTCCGGGCGCGCTCTGCCAGAGCCTGTCCCGATATTCGGGAGCGGTGTCAGCCTCCCCCAAAGATCGAGTTCCTGCAGAGCGGGAACCCCAGTGCTCGCCGCAGAGTGACACATAGTAGGTGCTTAATAAATGATTAAATGAGTGGGCCTGAGGATCGGGGGCGAGAACAATGAGAGGGAAGCACCACAGAAATTGGAGGTGTGTGTGTAGGGGTCTCCCCAAAACCTCCATCCTAGGAAGACAGGCATAGGAGCCAAGATCTCAGTGGGGCTGGGGGTAGGCGCTGGGGGTTTCTTCCCTCGTGAAGGTGGAGGGTATAGAGATGCCGCCCCCTCCAGCCCTTTGGGAGGATGGAGCCTGGTGTGTGTCTTGGTCCACCAGACCTGGGGTGGGGTGTGGTCAGAGCCCCGACTCGAGGCCGGCTATGTCCAGGCTCCACTATTAGGTGTGCATTTTGGGTCCAGGTGTTCATCTGTAAAATGAGAATATTAGAGGGTATTAGTCTCCTTTCAATGCTAAGGTTCCATGACTCTATGCTTCTAATCTGTTCTGGACTTAAGTTTCTCTCATCTAAATGTTCCTTTGTTAAAATTTTTATGAATGGTTTACAGTATGCTGGACCTTGTGCTGGGTGTTGGGGAGAGAGAAACACTCCCTGTTAAGATGTTTACAGCCTTCTTGTGGAGACAAATTATTATTATACTATGTAGATGGTACTGGGTTGGGTGGGTGCACAGGTTAAACAGAGAAGGGCCCCTAACTGAGCCTGGTGTATCCACAAAGGCTTCCTGGTGAAAGTGATCCTGGACCTGGGCTGGGAAGTCCAAGACTGATCACAGGTGTCCCTAGACACGGCAAGGTCAAGGGGTTGCATCTGGGGACAATGGGGGTAGGTTGGTGGTACAGTGAGAGGTGAGCAGAGGCCAGATTTTAAATGGTCTTGCCAAGAAATTTTTAGCAGTACCTGCAAGTGCTGGGGACCCACTGAAGTGTTTTAAGCAAAGTAGTAACATGTCTAAATTGTAATTTTAGGAAAATTGCTTTGAGTCTGGGTGGTGGATGGATTGGAGGGGCAAGATGAGGTATGATAGCAGTGCAGTCTCCAGGTGAGCAGTGCTGAGGCCTGAACCAAGGCAGCAGCGGTGGCAGACGCTGGAGGTATTAAAACAGCACTGGTATGATTTAGTGACCTGTGGATTGTGAGGGCTGTGCTCTGCGGTAGTGAAAGGTGGTGGCAGTTTTGAGAGGCCTCGTGAGTCCCGCCTGGAGCGGCAAAGGATGCCCAGGGCCAAGTGCAGAGCTGGTCCAGGCACCTGCTCCCCTGGTGAGGGTTAAGCTGAGGAATCTAAGGTTTCCTAGGATGGGGGTGGCCTGCCATGGAGAGTGGGCCAGGTGGGCAGGAGACCTGAGTTCTAACTTTCTCTGAGGCAGGGAATGTCCCCTCTGGGCCTTGCTTTCCTCATCCAAAAAGGGGGGAAACACTCCTTATCCTTGCCAAGCTCCTTTGAATGCAGCAAGGGTGAAAAAGTGTTTATAAATCAAAATGTGACAACTGTCCAAAGTGTTGTTAGCAGTTGGTTTCATCCCTTGCCTTCGATCAGGTAATGGGGGTCCCCAGGCCCTGGCGGGCTCCTGAGTCTTAGATTTGGGGCAGAAGAATGTGGGTGATGTTCTATCCTCTAAAGGGAGACAGGTGAGCAAAGACTGGGGATGGGGATGCCATAGGTGGGGGACAGGCCTGGGAGCGGGGAGGTGGGGGAGTGACAGTCCCAGCAAAGGTGTGCATGTTGGGCAGGGCAGGTGGGGCAGGGGCCCTGGAAGGAGGTGCTTTGGGGACTGGCAAGGGGTTGAATCCGGGACCTCTGGGAGGTGGGCGGGCATGATGGGATAAGGCAGCTGCCCTGGCTGCCCTGGCCGGCCCTGGACCTGGTTCCCAGGGAATGCTGGCGGAAGCAAACTGAAGTCACTGAACTGGGCTCTTCCTATCAGTTCTGACAACTGGGTAGTGGGGAGGGGGTGATGGCAATGCAGTGACCTAAAAAGAATTCATCTTGCACCTTTGTGAACGTTTTCCAGAGTCCTTTCGCAATGTTTCCCTCCCACTGCTTGATATAACAGTTCTGTACAGAGGACCAAGCACTATTTCCATTTGCAGATGGGGAAACTGAGGCCTAGGGAAGGAAAGTGGCTGGCCCGGGGTCACGTGACTAACCAGAAGCAAATCCGGTCCCAAGGTCTCTGGCCTCCCTGTCCTGGGCTCCTTCTGTTACGTGTGGTCTTTCTGTGGGACGATGGCCTGCCCCGCCCTCTTCCTCCCCACCGCTGTCCCCTCTCCTGGGACTGAGGACCCCACGGTGCTTGGGAGGCTGAGGTCTGCAGGTGCTGGAGTAGGAAGGGGGGCATGGGGAGAAGGGGGAGGACGGGCGAGGGCTTGGAAGAGGTAACAGTGAGGGTGCATGGGGACACCTGATCCGGTGGTGAGTAGATCTGGGAAGTCGGAGAGGAATGAGGGAGGAGCAGGGAGGCTGATGGGAGAGAAGGATGGGGTGGGGGCCCTGGAGGGGCTCGGGGATTGTTCTGGGAGTTGTAGAAGGATGCCGGGCATGCCTTATGCTGGGATGTGGAGTGGAGGCAGGCTTCTAGGTGGTGGGTGGAGGTGACGCTCACCTGGTCTGGGCTAGGACCTCGGCCTGCCTGTCTGTCCTCGGGCACCGGGCCATAGAAGGTGGGAACAGCAGTTGCCCTGACTTTCCGATACCATTTTAAAGCCACTTGTTGGGAATGGTTTGCATCTCCTCCTTGGTCAGAAACGCTGGAGGAGAGGAAGGTGAAGTGGGTGCAGGGATGGGGGACCGATGCCTGGAGAGAGCGCTGATTATCCAGAGATGAGCCAGAGCACAAGCCCAGGGACCAGGAGGGCCTGGGGGCTGTGCAGTCAGTCCTGGGAGACAAAGGCTACACCAGCTCCTCCCCGCAACAAAGTTGGGGTGTGAGGCCGTGGGGATCGCCTGAGCTGAGCCGGCAGAAGCGTCCACGGCTCTCTTTAGTCCAGCCCCCTGCCTGGCGCTCAGGGCCCAGACCCAGCCCTGCTCTCCTTACCCCTGGCCCACAGCCTGGCCCGGAGGAGGCCGTCTCCCCACCCAGTCTCCATCTCCCGGGAGAGGCGGTACCTGGAGCTGCTCTGTCAGCACAGCTCTGCAGGTAGCCTTGACCGTGAAAGCTGTCCACGCCCGGTTCCTCTGCGAGGCAGGCTCCCGTTGTTGAGCAGAGTTTGGGATTCCTGTGTGGGCGCGGGGGGCCTCCAGAGATTCTGAAGCAGCTTGAAGGGTAATGGTTTAGGAAGGGTGAGCTGGCCATGGGGTGCTCGGAGAGAGGGCTCAGAACCTTCGGGTGTGGATTGTTCTCAGGCCGCGAGAAAGAGAAAAGACCATTTCGAAAGTCTAGTGTGTACCCCAACCTGATGCTCACAGCAAGCCCCCGAAGCAGGCGTTTTCAGTCACCTTCGCCATTGGGAACCTAGGCCTAGAGGTGAAGTGATTTGCCAAGGACAGGTGGGCTAGAACTCAGGGCTCCTGATCCTGGGTCCAGGCGTGCGTGGGTCTGAGGAGAGGGGCAGCCAATGCGAGTGCACTGCGAGGGGCAGACTCGGCCGAGGAGTCCGGACTCAGGTTCCCAGGGGAGAGGGGAACGGCCTGCCGCCGCCTCCTGGCCAGACCCCTGCAGCGTGGCCTTGGGGCTGGGGCTGCACTGGCTGGCCGGGCAGAGCCCTGTCCTCTTTCTAGGGCTTTCTGTGCCCCTCCAGCTTCTCCCCTCCAGCTGCAGCACTGCTGCCTCACGCCGCCCCCCTCCCCTCAGCCTACCCCACCGGTACCCCAGCAGGTGACTGTTCCCCATCACCCACTGTCGCTCCCTCTCCCGGTGGCTACATCATCCCCTGAGTTCCGTTCCTTGGAGCAGTGGACCTGGAGGGATGGTCATGGATTGTGAGGTTACTTGTGTCAGCAGGGAGTCCATTGCTGTTTTCTCCAGTGTGAAAGGGGAGTGATTTGTGCTCGTGCGGTTCACGTTGGCACACTTGTGTCTCTGGATCTGTAGGTGTATGGGTGGATGTTTTAATATTTCAATCTCTCTGTACTTTGCGTATGCAATTTTGCAGGTATTCTCATGTGTATGAGTATCTCTGTAGTTTTGTATCTTTGAACGTTTGTGTACTTAGCCGCCTTGGATGTTAGATATGATCGTCTCTGGATATGTTTGTGTGCATTTAGTCTTTAGATCAGTTTCTTCGCGTATGCCTATGACTGTATTTTATCAATATTCTTTATTGAAGTATAGTTGATTCACAATGTTGTGTTAATTTCTGCTGTACAACAAAGTGATTCAGTTATACATGTATACATTCTTTTTTTTTATTACTATTTTTTTTTGCGGTACGCGGGCCTGTCACCGTTGTGGCCTCTCCCATTGCGGAGCACAGGCTCCGGACGCGCAGGCTCAGTGGTCATGGCTCACGGGCCCAGCCGCTCCGCGGCCTGGGGGATCTTCCCGGACAGGGGCACGAACCCGTGTCCCCTGCATCGGCAGGCGGACTCTCAACCACTGCGCCACCAGGGCAGCGTCTTTTTTTATATACTCTTTTCCATTATGGTTTATCACAGGATATTGACTATAGTTCCTTGTGCTCTACAGTAGGACCTTGTTGTTTATCCGTTTATATATAAAAGCTGACATCTGCTAACCCTGACCTCCCACTCCATCCCTCCCCCAACCCCCTCCCCCTTGGCAACCACCTATGATTGTATATTTTAAATGAAACATCCACTGATATTAACTGAAATCCATTTCCCAGGCCAGGGACATCATTAACCTGTCCTGAGGTATTTGTTGTTGGTGATGAAGCACTGGGGCCAGAGGGGCCCCGTCTTCCCATTTCTTCCATTCGTTCATTCATTTATTCATTCACCCAGTATAAACTGAGCGCCTTCTGCATCCCAGGCCCCGGCAGGCAGGGCCACCGCCATCCTGGAGCTTTATATCTAGTGCAGTGTCGCCCAGCAGAACTTCGTGAACCTGGAAGTCTTCTTTTCTGCTGGATGTTATGGTGGCTCTAGCCACGTGTGACTGTTGAACACTTGAAGCGTGGCCAGTGTGGATGAGAAACTGAATTTTAAACTTAATTTATACACACTTAAATAACCAACATGTGGGTCTAGAGGCCAGACTCCTGAAAATGAGGCCCAGGTGGCTTAAGGTTTGGTACACTCTGCACCTTCTCTTGGAGGCAGCATGGTCCAGGAGCAGGGCCTCTGGCTGGGGCAGGCCCACCCCAGTTCGCCGGTCCTGGCTCCAGCACTTATTGCTGTGTGACCTTGAGCAAACCGCTTAACGTCTCAGAGCCGTGGCTCCTTAGGATGAAGTGGGCGGAGCTTGCCGAGTGCCTGGTACACAGTCGGTCTCCCTGTCCCTACCGAGTCTTGGCTCGTCACCCCCTTTTCTTTCCAGAGCCAGGTCAATACCGAGGTGACCAGGGAAGCCCCCGCCCTCTCAGTGAATGAGGGAAGGACAGACAGAGTCTCCATCCCCCCGGAGGACTCCGAGAGCACATCCTCAGGGTGAGGGCTAGCTGGAGGCTGCGGGCCCTCGCCCATCCCCTTCCAAACGCTGGCCTGGGCTGCTCCCCGGGGGACTTGAGCTACTGGTGTGAGGGCGGTCAGCTTGGTGGGCAGCGTACCTTGGGAAGACTGCCTCCTGTGCGTGGTTTCCTTTGGGGAGGGACCGTGCGCATGGGTGAACGGTGGCACATGGTGTCGCCCTGGGTGGGGCTCCTAGCTGAGCAGGGCCTGTGAGCTGGGCCTTCGGCTGGAGTTGGGGAGATGCATCCCTCAAAGCCTGAGCTACCGGTGGAGGGCACGTGGCCGGTCCCTACTCCACTGGTGACAGAGGACACATGAGGTGCCATCTCCTTCTTCCCCATGTGGGGCCTGAGTCTGTGAAGAGAGGTGTACTTGGCTGGTGGAAAAGGTCCAGGGCCCTGAGATCTGGAGGGTGAGGAGTGACCCAGACGTGTCCCTGCACCGCCTCTCCCGGCCCATGGCCTTTGTGCACCCCCAGCTGCTGTCTGCCTTCCCCCCAAATTTCTGCTAAGATCGAACCCCTTTGATACCTTCCCTGCCCCCAGACCTCAGCACCTACCCCAGGCCACAGTCCCGCCTTGTGTGACGTGGCAGTTGTCATGGCAGCTGTCCCGCAAAGCCTCCCCGTCAAGGGGCTCTCATCCCAACTGCGGCCTGACCCAGAGCCAGGGGCTGGGAAGGAGGAGGTGACTGGGGCCCTGTCCTGAGACCCACCCGCTGCATGTGTCCCACCCTCCAGGGGACCTGCTGTGCAGGGAGGGCAAAGGTCATCAGAGATTGGGGTCGGGGAGCTGGGTGTGGCCCTTAGGGACTCGGTGTGGGCACTGGTGGATGGGGATCGGCCCCCGTTGCCGCCTGTTTTCTGGCCAGGGTCTTCTGCTGGGCGGCCTGCTCGCCGTGTCCCTGGGCATCTCTCTCTCCAGTCAGCTGAGTGATGTGTCTGGTGGGGCGAGAAGAGGTGTGCAGTGCGGTGCATCAGGGTGGGGTGTGCGGGGGCCTGGTCGGCCTGGAAAGACGCTGCCACACGCAGGGACCTTCTGCCGTTCGGCTTGTCTCAGGGGTTTGTCTGAGGACACCTGTTGGCCTGTTTTCCAGACACATCCCACCTGAGCACACAGGTAGAGATGGGCCCCCAAGACATAGCCCCTGCCCCCTGTTCCTGTCCCCTGCCCTCTCCTTTCTTCCTTCTTCCCCTCGGGCCCACGAGGGTCCTTTCCTTCCATTTCCACTTCTGTTCTTTCTCGGACCATGAGCTCTGGTGCAGCTCAGAGACTCCCTGTGAACTGGTCACCAAGAATTGAAGCCCTTCTGCCACCTGAGGCGATTTTGAGTCCGTAACACCTCTCAAGACAGAATGGATCAAGTAGGACTGATTTGATTTGGCTTAAGGGGCCTCAGTTGTGTTGTGTAGGGGTTTTGTGAATGAACTCAAGTCCCACCCGCTGTCCTCGCCCTGAGTTGTGGCCCGAGCCTCCACCCCCCTGTCTGAGGTTCCCCATATCAAAGCGGCCTCTTTGTCCGCCAGTCCTTTGAGTCTCCTTAGGCAGACATTAAATCTCCAGTTGGTGAGAGGCTACCCCATGGCCTGGGATGCAGAGTGACCTGGAAGGAAAATGTGGTGCTAAGGCAGGAGCATTGGCATCCATCAGGGGCCCCAAGGGGGGGCCTTCTCCTGCCCTCATTTGTGGCCCCCTTTTCTCTACACCACAGGCAGGTTTCAGTGTCTATAGTAACCCACAGCAGGAGCGCGTAACAGACCCCTTTTGGGGAAATAGAATTAAAAACCAAATCTCCTGCCAACTCAGAAAAACTCCCCACAAAAGGAGAGAAAGAAAACAAGTTTTTAACTGAATAAGCATTAGACTGGAATGTGGTGCACATCACAGGCAATTTGCTAAGAGACTGTAAACAGAAATCTCACCTGTTACACAGTCCAGCAGGGGCAACCCCACTGCACACGTCTTCTCCAGGGAAAGCATAGCCAGTCCTTGGGTAAGAGGACTTGACAGCACCATTTGTCACACAGGGTTCACCCTAAATTCGCCTGGAATTGGGAGGCCACCCGTGATAGCTAATTGCCTTTATGCAAAGGAAACATCCACTTCTTGTATCTTGGTGACGGGAGGAGGTTTGCAGCCCCGAGCCCGGTGCTGCTGGAGAGTTAGGCTCCCACCTCCCACGGGCAGGGGACACTGGCCGCTGTTCCCTTGATGTTTGCATTTCGGAGAGATGGCTCCCAGGTCCTCGAGAAAGACGGTCCTTGGTTGTAAAGCCAGCAGGAGGCTTAGTGAGCTTTAAAAAGATTTATATACACCTCTAAGGGGCAGAGAAAGAACTTCCAATTAGAAGTTTTCTAAAGAAAGTACTCTGAAAGAAAGGGGAGGGTTCTCTTTCCCTTTCTGCACCAGGGAGGGTGAGTTTTCTATTTCTCAGATTCGTATCTCCCTGACACCCCTGCCCCCCACCTCTCCGGGCAGGGTCCATATCTCCAGTCTGGGTCCCTGTCCCCGGAGTAGCTGCTGGAAGGGGACCTGGGAGAAGGAAGCGGGGAGACCCTTAGAATGGGGTTTCTGGGAGGCTCTCTGGGGCCTGAGGTGTGGAGCAAGGGGAGACCGGCTTCCCCGAGCCCGAGCAGTGGCCGAGGAGAGGTTCCTGGTCCTGCAGCGTGAGCCCAGCCTCCCGTCTCGTGGGGCAGAGGCTGGGGCCTGTTTGGGAGTGCAGGGGGTCCGGGGGTGCAGGCATAGGAAACGAGATCCCCGACCTCGGGGGAGGCCGCCCACAGCACCACGTGCAGCGGCCACATCCCTGAGCGCACGTAACCAGCAGCATGTTCGTGCCACACACGGCTGTTTGGTGCCCTCCACGTGCGGGCTCTGGCCCTTACCCTGGCACTCGGCAGTGAGCCCGGGAAGTCCTGTCCTCGATTCCTGTCGGGGAATAAGCAGAGAAGTAAATATCCTGTCCGGTGGCAAAAAGTGTCAGAGGAATGGGAGGTGGGGCTAGGGTTGTGACTTTACACGGGGCTGCCAGGGAAGGCCAGTCAGAGGAGGTGACGGTTAGGCTGGGGCCTGGAAGGGGCAGGGGCCGCGCCAAGGGGTCAGAGCAGCAGGACCCATCCCAGTCACGTTCCAGGCACCAAATGAGCCAGTCGGGAGATGTTCAAAAGACTGAAGAGGGGGCTTCCCTGCTGGCGCAGTGGTTGAGAGTCCGCCTGCCGATGCAGGGGACACGGGTTCGTGCCCCGGTCCGGGAAGATCCTACATGCCGCGGAGCAGCTGGGCCCGTGAGCTATGGCCACTGAACCTGTGCGTCCGGAGCCTGTGCTCCGCAACGGGAGAGGCCACAACAGTGAGAGGCCCGCATACCGCAAAAAAAAAAAAAAAAAAAAAAAAGACTGAAGAGTAAAAAAAGATGAGCCCCAGATTGGTGGATGAGGGATCAGGTCCCTAGGACCCAGGTTGGCCACGTGTGTTCTTGCCCAGGGGTGGGGGGTGGCTGTGAGGCCCCAGAAGGGTTTGTACTGGAACCTGGACGGGGGCTTTGAGAGACGGGGTGGCTGGCGATTTTGGAGGGACGGTTCTTCCCTCCAGGGTGTCCTCGTGACCACGTTGCAGGGTAGGGGGTGTCTCTAAGCTTATTTGAGTTTCCTGGTCCTCTCTTGTGGCATCCTTCACACCCCACCCCGCAGGTGATGAGAGTGTGGGCATGAGGCTGTGGTCTGGGAGTTAGAAGCCTAGGGACCTTGCCCAGCTCTGCCGTTCGGCCACCTCTGTGGCTTGGGGCATGTCAGCGGCCCTCTCTGGCCTCAGTTTATTCTTCATAAAATGGGAATTATACACATTTTACCCGCCTAGCAGGTATATGTGCTTTTTAAAAAAATCCTGCTCATTTCGACAGAGGTCATAGAAAAGCTTTTGAAAAAGAGGAACTGCTTCCTGTGAGTGGCATTTGTCCTTGTCCCACAGGCCAACTCTCTTTCCTTTGCTCCCATCTCACCCACAGACGGCCGGGCAGGGAGCCGCTGTGCTGATGTCGAGGGGCCTCCGGGGATGGAGAGTGGCCTGGCTGGCGACAGCAGCACAGGTAAGAGAAGAGGGGCAGGTGGGAGCCCACCACGGCCCCTCCCCAGCCCCATCTTCCCCGTCTCTCTGTAGCTGAGCAGGAGTTGCTGGTGGCCTGTAGAACCACACGGGGGGACCAGGACACTGAGGTCACGTCCAAGGATGGAGCAAACACAGACTAGGGGGCTAAGAACTGACAAAGCCCAGCCTGTGCTTGCCAGGCAGGGACACACACACACACACACACACACACGGACACACATACGCACGGACACACACTCACACACACACACACACACCCCGTGCAGAAATCTGCTGGGGGAAGATCAGGTGTTTGTCAAGCGCTAGATCAGGGAGTGCTTGGTGTTGGCGCTGCCGACAGCGAAAGCCAGGACACCGAAAGCCAGCGGTCCGGGGAGGACACGTGGTCGCAACAAGCCCTGCTGTTGGTTGGTCAGGAGAGTGTCTCCAGTTCGGTCCATTAAGCTTCCCGGGGTCACACAGTTCATGGTCTGTGTCAGCTGATGCACTTGGAGCCGGTGGTGAGGAAACATAGCAGTTAATCCTGGTGTCTCCTGGGCAGGGGGCAGGTGCCGTTGAGAGTGGGAAGTGCCCTGTGGAGACCCCTCCCCAGCCACCCGCTTACCGCTTCTGGGATGGAGCAGCCCCTGGTCTGAGACCCGCTCTCAGCCTCTGTGGCAGGCCCTGTTCTGGGTGTAGCTGGGCTGCACGGTGGCTCTGGCCCCAGGAGAGGGCACCGGCCCAGGCCTGGGAACTCTGCCCCTCGCTCAGCACAGTGACCAGGCTTCTTTACCTCCCACCCCTTCCAGGGGAGTTGCCCTATGGACCCCAGAGCCCCCGCCCTCCCAGGACAATCACTGCAGTGGGCCTAAGATGAGACAAAAATCAGGCAATTGGATAAAAAAGAAACAAAACACCAGCTCAAAGGAGGCAGTATGATATATGGACACCACACTGCTCTGGGGCAGTGAGTTCAGCCACCCCACTTCCCAGTCCCCCTCAACCCCTGCCCCAGGCTGTCGCTTTGAACACTGAGAGCACTCGAGGTGTGTGTGTGTGTGTGTGTGTGTGTGTGTGTGTGTGTGTGTGGCTGACATTACAGTAATTACAGGAAAACCTAGGGCAGACAGTTCCAAACATTTCAGCTGAAGGACCCTTTTGCCCATGTAAACTCATAAGGGAGATCCTAATGCAGACGTGAGAGATGGGCTCCACCAGGGCCTTCTCTGCCCCGTACCGCAGCTGCAGCTTCGGGAAGAGGTAGAAAAGCACCGGCCTGGACCCTGGAGCCACTGGGGCCTGGGGGCCCCCGTGAGCTCAGCCTCCACAGGCTGCCACGCCTGCTGGCCAGGCTGAAGGAGTGACTCTTCTGGAAGGCCAGAGCTTTCAGATAATTGGGAGCTCACCTCTTTCAGGTACCTTTTACTTTATATTTGTTTTATATGTTTTTTTAAATTGTGGTGAAATATACATAACATGAAATTTACCATTTTAACCATTTTTAAGGGTACAGTTCAGTGGCATGAAGCACATTCACGTTGTGGTACCGCCATCACCACTATCCATTTCTCGAATTTTCCCATAATGTCAGAAACTACCCATTAAGCAATAGCTCTCCTTTTAGCACCTTTTTATTTTACCTGAACCATTTAGAGCTTTTTATGCTGACTGAGGACCACTACCTTTGGAACAGGCAGGCACAAGCCTGTTTTCCTCTGTATCAGTGCCTGACCCCTACGGGAAGGTGCCCGTGACGACTGAAGTCCCAGCAACACACGTCACAGGTCTACATGCGCCACCCCTGGGCTTCAGGGCCTCCTCATGCAGCCCAGCCACTGTGATGGATATCAAGGCCAGGTTTGATCAGGGAAAGGCAGTGGCTTTTGTGGGGCTCTGGGGCACCAGTGGGTGCCCTATTGCTTGGGGACAGTGGTGCCCCTCTGACTGGAGTATGTTTTGGATTCAGTACATGACCACCAATTTGGACAGCTAGCCCTGTTAAATACTTCCGCTGGCCAACAGTTCAGTGCATCTAAGGAAACATTCTTTGAATCAGTGAAGCTCATTACACATGGGCTTTCGATTCCTGCCGTACACAATTTAAATCACCACTTTCATTTTCAAATTATTCCTCCTGATAAAATGACCTCTCACAACCGAGCATCTGGGGAGGCCTCACAGCGTCGTCTCGCCAGGTGGAAAGCTGGCCCCTTGCAGGTGCTTTCTGTGACCCTCCCACCCTGCCATCTCTGCCCCCATGGGCACCACATCGGTTTCTTTGCCCCCACGTGGCCAGTGAGTCTGTGGAGTGGAGCAGAGCTCTTTGGCCTCAAAACTAAAGGCCACCAGATTAGAGGGGAAGTTTTCTCTTTATTTCCTAGGATATTTTAAAGACTTTAAAATTATAATGTTTGAATTTTTATGAGAATATTCAAATAACATATAAAGTGTAAATCCCCTTTGACTTCTCCATCTAGTCCTGCTATGGTCCATATCACCTGCAGGGTGGCCACCATCTTGGGTTTGGTGTGAACCGTCCTGGATCGGGCATGTGTATGTACACAGAGAGGTATGGTTTTATTTTCCATAAGTTGGATCAGACGACTGATACTGATTTTCAGTTTTGTTTTTTTCTCTTAAAATGTTTTCGAAATCTTTTCACATGAGCATATACAGCTCGTTTCAATCACTGCATAGTATTCCACATTATGACGGGAGTGAAAATTTTATTAGACTATTATTGGTGGGTAATTAGGTTGTTCCCCCCTTTTTCCTAATTACAGATAGCACTTCAGTGAATATACTTAGGCGTTCCTCTTTGGACTCATATGTATTTCTTAGGATAAACACCTAGAGTGAAATTGCTGGGTGGAAGGGGTGCAAGATTGTACACATTTATAATTTTAATAAGCACTGTCAAGTCGTCCTCAAAGAGTCTGAATTCGTTTAGGCCCCCATGTTGTACTTATCCTCCTATGTAATTTCCATGTGTATAAGTCGGGATGTTATCAACCTCTTCAATATTTGCTGCTGTGATGGGTGAAAAGATGCTACACTGTTACTTTGCTGGTTACTAGCGAGGGTGCACCTCTTTTTATCGTATCTATAGGAGTCCTCTATATACTCTGGATATTAATACTGTGGATACTGAGTCCTTTATATACTCTGCATAGACGTGTGCTGTGCAGTAGGTGGCCAATAGCCACATACGGTTATTTAAATTTAAATTTAGATTTAAATTTAACAAAGTAAGTTCAGTTCCTCGGTAGTACTAGCCACATTCCAAGTGCTCTGTAACCACCTGTGGCTAGAGGCCACATGTATCAGACAGCTTGGATGTAAAATGTTTTCACTCTGTGGAAAGCTCTGTTGGAAAAGGCTGCCCCACACGATCATTTCTAGTTCACTCATATGCAGTATCCTTTGTCGCACAGGGGTTTTAAATTTAGTTTTTATGTTTTGCATCCTGTTGAAGAAGATTACCAATTACCTCTAGATTCGAAACAAATTCTCCTAATTCTTCTAATACTGTATTTGCTTCTTTTAAACCAGCACTTAAATCCATCTGGAACTGATTTTTTTTTTTTTTTTTTTTTTTTTTTTTGTGGTATGCGGGCCTCTCACTGCTGTGGCCTCTCCCGCTGTGGAGCACAGGCTCCGGACGCGCAGGCTCAGCGGCCATGGCTCACGGGCCCAGCCGCTCCGCGGCACGTGGGATCTTCCGGAACTGGGGCACGAACCCGTGTCCCCTGCATCGGCAGGCGGACTCTCAACCACTGTGCCACCAGGGAAACCCTATTCTACACTTTTAATGATTGTTTTTAGCCTTTTTTTTTGGTGGTGGGAGGGACTCTCACAGCCTCACCTCACCTGGCTCACTATGGAACAGCCATGTCAATACAACTGCATCAGTCAAGACTTTTATTAAATGGACTTTATTTTTTAGAGCAGTATTAGGTTTACAGAGAAAATGTGCAGAAAGGACAAAGAGTGCCCTATACCCTCCTCTACAGCTCCTCCTGTTGTTAACATTTTGCTTGTTAACATTTTGCATTAGAATGGTGCCGTTTTCACAATAGATCCATTACAGTATCATACAGAGGAGTTTCACTGCCCTAAAAATCCTCTGTGCTCTGCCTGTTCATCCCTTTCCCCTTGACCCTTCAACCCCTGGCAACCACTGATCCTTTTACTGCCTCCACAGTTTTGCCTTTTCCAGGACGTCCTAGAGTTGGAATCATAGTGTGTAGCCTTTTCCGATTGGCTTCTGTCACTTAGTCACATGCATTTAAGTTTCCTCCATGTCGTTTCATGACTTGAGATCTCATTTCTTTTTATCACTGAATAATACTCTATTGTATGGTGTACCACTGTTTATCCATCCACCCAACGAAAGACATCTCTTGGATGCTTCCACGTTTTGACTGTTATCGATAAAGCTGCTATAAACGTCTGTGTGCAGGTTTTTGTGTGGACATAAGTTTTCAGCTCCTTTGGGTGAATACATAGGAGAGTGATTTGTCGGATCGTATGGTAAGAGTATCTTTAGTTTTGTAAGAAACAGACAAACTGTCTTCCAAAGTGGCCTTAACATGTTGCATTCCCACCAGCAATGAATGAGAGTTCCTGTTGCTGCACATCCCTGTCAGCGTTTGGTGTTCGGTGTTTTGGATTTTAGCCATTCTAATGGGTGTGTGGTGATAGTATTTTAGCTTTTAATGTTGCATAAGCCAAATTCTTCCCTGCTCATTTTTAGAATTTCTGGGTGATTTACACACATAGTAAATGTTATAATTTACTTAATTAGGATTACACTGAATTTAAACATTTTGGTATGGAGAGCTTCTTATCTAGGAGTATGATGTACCTGTTGTTTTATTTACATTCTATCCCTTCAGTAAAGTTTAATAGTCTTCTTTATGTTTTGCTGATATATTAGGTATACTTACAGTTACTTTATTGCCGTTTTGAAAAGTTATGCATTCTAATGTTTTTTATCTGGCAGTTTTGTTGAAACTTTTATTTCTAAAACTTCATCAGTGGATTCTCATGCACATTCTAGGTTAATAATTATCAGCAAATGACAGTTCTCTCCTCCTCTCCAAGATTTAGATATATCTTTCTTTTTTCACCTTGCTCCTAACCTGAATAGGCTTCTAACCGTCTGCCTTCGGTTATAACATTTGCTGCCGTTTCTAATACAGCTCCTTTGTCAACCTAAGAAAATTTCCTGATGTTCCTAGTTTGCTAAGAGCTTCCTTCCTTCCTTTTTTCTTTACCCCTCCCTCTCTTCCTCCTCCCGCCTTTCCCTTTTCCTTCTCTCCCTCCAGAAGTGATGTTGAATTTTATCCTGGGACTTTTTCACATCTATTGAGATAGTATAAGGTTTTTAATGTTTAAAAGGTTAATGTCATGAACTGTGTTGAGTCACCTTCGCTTTCCGGGAGAACATCCAGCAAAGCCATGATAGATTGTTCTCGTAACACTGCCACACTTGCTTTGCCAGTGTTTTTGCTTGTTTGTTTTTTGCATCTACTTTCAAAGAACGATAAACCTATACTTTCCTGCTACCCCACCCTTGTCTTATTCTGGGTCATGTTAACACGTGAGCTTCCCCCCTCCCCCTGCCCTAGTCATGGTCACAGTTTCTGTAAGCTGAGAATAGTCCTTGCCGTGAAGTTTTAGTAGAACCTCTTTGTACGGTTCAGTGGCCAGTTACCCATTTTCGAGGTTGAACTTTAGCTTTCTTTTCAGTCTCTTCTAATTGTTTCTATAGACATGGTTTCTACCTTTTCTTGAGTCAGTTTTGTTAATTTATTTTTCCTCGCAAAATCATCCATTTTATATAGATTTTTCAAATTGATATAATATCTGTACATGGTATTTTGCGATTTATCAGAATCCTTTGTTTATCTTTATGTTCCCTTTATCCTATCATCTCTGCTTTTGTCTTTATTAATTCCTTCCTCTTACTTCCTTGGGGTTTGCTTTGTTGTCTTTTTAATATTGGCAGTGGTTTTTTGTTTTTTGTTTTTTTTTTCTGGCTGCGTTGGGTCTTGTTGCTGCACACGGGCTTTCTCTAGTTGCGGCGAGCGGGGGCTACTCTTTGTTGCAGTGCGCTGGCTTCTCATTGTGGTGGCTTCTCTTGTTGAGGAGCACGGGCTCTAGGCACGCGGGCTTCAGTAGTTGTGGCTCGCAGGCTCTAGAACGCAGGCTCAGCAGTTGTGGTGCGTGGGCTTAGCTGCTCCGCAGGGGCATGGACTCGTCCCGGACCAGGGATCGAACCCGTGTCCCCTGCACTGGCAGGTGGATTGGCAACTGTTGTTTAGAGTTTCTCTTCTTTGTTCCCAACTGTTTCATTTATTTTTTATTGAACATAAACTTTTTCTTGAAGTGTAACACAGAAAAGTGCACAGGTCGTGGGCTGTATAAATTCCCCAAGTGAACACGCCCATGTAACCAGCACCCAGATCCAGAAGGAGAACATTGCCAGAGCCCCAGAAGTGCCCCAGGCCCCCTTGCAACCACAGTGCCCTCTGTCAGGGGGCCGTTACCCTTCTAACTCGTCCATTAGTTGCCAGCTTTTGACCTACATATAAATGGAATCAGACCGTCTGTACGCAGTGTCTACGGCAAACCTTTTCCATCATGGCTTCTGTCCAGGAGCCCCGAAGCAAAGCGGCCTCTGGCCTGAGCACAGTGTAAGGGGTGGGTTAGTACCGGAGCGTGCTGCTGCTGTGTAGGATTCGTTTAGTACAAGGACGACGCAACACGCATTCTGGGTGCCGAGACCTTTCTGGCCTACTTTCTTGTTCATGGTTTCGTTGAAGAAAGGTGAGGTTGCCAAGAAGGTAAGGTGCGCTGCGCACGCACCACGGCTGCTGCCCTGGAGAGGCCTGGCAGTGATGTGGGGCTTGACTGCCCAACCCCTGGGGGGACTTGACGTGCACTCGTCCAGCAAGTGTCCAGCACATCCATCCCCTTAGGAAGAGAAGGAGATGTTTTGAAACTTGGCCACTTTCTGCTTGCTTCCTGGGTCGGAAGACTCCCCTGGGCCTCAGGGTGGAGGAGGCGGGCAGTGGGGTCGTTGGCACAGCAACGCTCACCTATCGTTTCTTCCTTGTCTTTTTTCTTTGCCCTCCTGCACACCCCAGTCTCCCCTTTATTGTCCTTTCCACCCTCCCTCCTCTCTTCTTCCTCTGCATCCTTTTCTCCCGGCCCTATTTTCTGCCAAGCTCTGCCCTCCTGACGCGTCTTCCCGCCCTCTCGCCCTTTCCCTCCACCCCACCGAGCACCGAATGACTCTCGCCGTCTCTCTCCCTCTGCCTCCGGCAGGAGATGTGCTGGTCATGAAGATCAAGCAAGAGAAGCCAGAGTGGCTGCTGCAGACGCTGGGGCCACAGGCCGCGCTTTCCCAGAAGGATAAGGAGAACATTTTCCGGCAGCGTCGGAGCCTCCCACTATGCCAGACCGTGGGGAAGCCTCGAGCCTGGGGGGGACAGGAGGAGACTGGGGGTCCAAGGTGGGCCCCTCCCCTCGAGCAGGACGGCGGGCCGGCAGGCCGGGCTCCGGGGGTGACCCCCAGCCCCCTGTGCCCCGCTCTTTCTGCCGGTGAGGGTCACTTCGTGTGCCCGGACTGCGGGAAGAGGTTCAGCTGGTGGTCGACCTTGAAGATCCACCAGCGCACCCACACCGGCGAGAAGCCGTACCCGTGCGGCAAGTGCGGCAAGAGCTTCAGCCAGAAGCCCAACCTGGCGCGCCACCAGCGGCACCACACGGGCGAGCGGCCCTTCTGCTGCCCCGAGTGCGCTCGGCGCTTTAGCCAGAAGCAGCACCTGCTCAAGCACCAGAAGACCCACTCCCGGCCCGCCACCCACCCGTGCCCCGAGTGCGAGCGCTGCTTCCGCCACCAGGTGGGCCTCCGCATCCACCAGCGCGCGCACGCCCGGGACCGCCAGGGCACCCGCGCTGGGCTGCAGACGCTGCTCCGGGACGCCACGGCCCACCGGGGCTGTCGCCCGCGGCCGGGGCCCCGGCGGGGGCGCCCCGAGTGGGCCTGGCTGGGGCTCTGCCAGAGCTGGTGGCGCCAGCCCGGGGCCCGGACCGCCGCCCCCGCCGAGCCGCGCCAGTTCATCTGCAACGAGTGCGGCAAGAGCTTCTCGTGGTGGTCGTCGCTGAACATCCACCAGCGCATCCACACGGGCGAGCGGCCCTACCCGTGCCCGGAGTGCGGGCGCCGCTTCAGCCAGAAGCCCAACCTGACGCGCCACCTGCGCAACCACACGGGCGAGCGGCCGCACCCCTGCGCGCACTGCGGCCGCAGCTTCCGCCAGAAGCAGCACCTGCTCAAGCACCAGCGCACGCACCTGCCCGGCGCCCCGGCCGCGCCACGCCCCAGCCGCGCCGCGCTGCGGCCCACCAGCAGGCCCACGCCGCCGCCGCCGCCGCCGCCGAGCCGCCCGCCCAGGGCGCCCCCGGCCTGTTGCCGCCGCCGCCGCCGCCGCCGTCGCACGGCCCCTCGCCGGCCCAGGGGCCCGGGGACGTGCCGTGGGGCCGGGCGCGGGCGGGCGGGCCGGGCGAGCCGCGCCAGTTCATCTGCAACGAGTGCGGCAAGAGCTTCTCGTGGTGGTCGGCGCTCACCATCCACCAGCGCATCCACACGGGCGAGCGGCCCTACCCGTGCCCAGAGTGCGGGCGCCGCTTCAGCCAGAAGCCCAACCTGACGCGCCACCGGCGCAACCACACGGGCGAGCGGCCCTACCTGTGTGCCTCCTGCGGCCGCGGCTTCCGCCAGAAGCAGCACCTGCTCAAGCACCAGCGCGTTCACCGGGGCGCCCTGGCGCCCACCCCCAGCGCCAAGGGCGCGGCGCTCTAAGGGGCCTGGACCCAAGCAGACCCATGGGCGGGATGGGATGCTTGCGTGGTGCGTGTGGGGAATGACCAGGAATGGTGGCTTTTAGAACCCCCGGGGGTAAGACCCTATCAAAAGGTGCTTTCTTCAAGGCTATCAGACCTGAGAACAGAATTCCACAAGCATCCCAAAACGGGGGCCAGGAAAAGTCCCGGGAAGGGCTGAGGGAGGAGGTAAGATCAGACATCCTCACCCTGGAGCCTGGATGTGTCTGTGATGGTTGAGGCCCGTCTGTGTCCTTCCTTGGAGGTGGGACGGCAGCCCTCGGGCATTGAGTGCGGGGGCTGTCGACGGCCCTGGGCGAGGCTCCCTGGGTGAGATGGCGCAGGTCTGGACTGGTCAGCTGTGGCACCAGCCAGCTGCGCTCAGCTGCCAGATAGCCCAGGGGCGTCCCTGTGGGGGAGTCTCAACAGACTGAGTGCCCAGATGGGAGCTGGGGCTGGGGAGGGGCACGCCTATGCCCGTGCGAGGCCAGTGCTGAGCACTTAATGGCTACTCAAGACATGTTTTTGGAAGGAGGGAATGGTTTGATGGTCCTCAGCACCAAGTGCCCTGCTGCCCAGGGTGCTGTGGTGGCCGGCTTGACCCTAGGACTGGTGTGTGTGTGTGTGTGTGTGATGGTCAGGGGCTGGGACTGGGGGGCGGGGGTGGTCTCAGCTGGGGTTTGGTACCTTGGGGAGGGACCTGCAGCAGGAGAGCAGCGAATGTGCTGCCCTGACTCGGTGGGCACTGCCCGGGATCCCTATCAACGCCGGTGTTGCAGAAGAGAGAAATGAAGGATTGATTGTCTCATGTGGTCTCCTTTCTAAGCCACCCTTCCTGTTCTCTGGGTCCTTGTGTGCTTGGAGGGATCCATTTGCCCCAGGACGAGGGCAGGGAGCTTTGGCCATGAGCACAGCCAGTCCCCATGGCCAGTTCTTGCTGGGGGTGGAGGGCAGTATTCTCTCCCCTGTTCCCTCTCCAAGACAATCTGATCACTTCCCACATACCCCCCTTGACCTCTAGCCCCTCAAAAGTCACCCCTCGTACCCTTCCAAAAGCAGGGTCGGCTGGGGCCCTAGTGCTAGCAGAAGAGCCCGGGACTCCAGCCCGGCTGTAGCCTTGGACCATGTCTTCCCACAGGAGGGGAGGGGATTGCAGAGGGCGTGGGTATCGGGGTACCAGGGTTGGATAGCTGGGAAGTGAGAGGAAAAAGGGGAACACTAGGGTGATTCTGTAGGAGGAGAAACTGTGCCTTCCTGCCTCCAAGGGCCCGCCTGGTTCTCCCTTGAACTCAGAGAAGTGTTATCTTCTCCAGGAGCTGTGCGGTCACCCTGGCTTCCGTTCACCCCTCTTCTCAGGTTTTGTTTAATCCCTTTCATCTGGCAGGAGCTCGAAGTGCTGTAGCATCACAAAAAGACATATGGAGGGGCTTCCCTGGTGGCTCAGTGGTTGAGAGTCCGCCTGCCGATGCAGGGGACACGGGTTCGTGCCCCGGTCCGGGAAGATCCCATGTGCCGCGGAGCTGCTGGGCCCGTGAGCCATGGCCGCTGAGCCTGCGCGTCCGGAACCTGTGCTCCGCAACGGGAGAGGCCACAACAGTGAGGTGCCCGAGTACCGCAAAAAAAAAAAAAAAAAAGACATGGAGGTGATCCAGCTTACCTGGGTAACACAATTCTGGTGATGGTTAATGTTCAGCCAGGGCCGCTGACTCGTGGTCCAGGCCTTTGATCACAAACCATGCTGTGTGAAACCTCACGAATGGGTGAGGTGTGCCCATCTGGGAGTTCAGGTCTGAGGACCAGCCGGGGGCCAAATCAGAAGGGTTTTCCTAAGCACGCTCTGACCCAGCCCTAGGTGCTGCTCTGTCTCCCTGCAAAGCCCTGCCCCTCTCCTGCCAGCCCTGCTCAGGGAAGCAAAATGCTTGGGATCTCATCAAAACCCACTGTAATGATGGAGTATTTGCTTCCTGAAATTCTGAGGCCAACTCAAGCAAGCCCTGCTCCTCCAGGAAGCGTCCCAGAGGTACCATGTCTGCATTAGAGGCCTGTTAAACCACGTTCCTGAGCGGCAGGGCAGGCAGATACTGAAGAGATCAGTTGAGCAGGAGTTTCCATACAATAGGATGTGTTATCGTTCCCAAATGGCCTGTGTTTAGTGATCAGATCAGACAGCTGCACTGGTAAGACCTGGGGTCGATGAGGTCCAATTGCAGCTCCCCTCTCCCTCCAAAGTCATGAGAATGAATGCCTGTTCACTGACCCCAGGGGACCTGCCTCTTCAAAAATGGGTGCTTTGGGTCACAATGGGGACAAGGCCAAGTCCATCAGGGTGAAGAATTACCGAGGTGCACGTCCCATTGACCAGGTTGGGATGGCACGGTGGCACAGCAATGATTTACTAAACAAGTCTCCAGTGTGCCGGGCACTGTGTCAGACCTCAGGGATGCCGTGATGAATAAGCCATTGTCTTAGTCGGCTCGGGCCAGCATAACACCACCACAGGCTGGGAGCTTTAATGACAGACATGCATTTCTCACAGTCCGGGAGGCTGGCAGTCCAAGATCAGGGTGCTGGCAGAGTCTTTTCCTGGTGAGGGCTCGGTTCCTGGCTTGCAGACGACCACCCTTTCTCGGGGTTTTCACGTGGTGGGAGGGCGGGAAGGAGTGGGGGAGAAGTAAAAGAGAGAGAAAGGACCTGGTCTCTGTCTTCCTCTTCTTAGACACTAATCTCACCAGGCGAACCTCACTCTCACGACTTCACTTAAACCTAATTCTTAATTGCCTCCCAAAGGCTCCATCTCCAGATGCCACCACATTGAGGGTAGGGCGTCAACATATAAATTTGCGGAGACACAATGCAGGCCATAGCAGTCACAGACCCCGCCCTTGAGGAGCTCCTGGGCCTTTGTGGAAACCCATTTTGATACACAGCTTGGAACAATCTCTACGGTCAACTCTTCAACAAATCGTTCCCAGCCCCAGCTCTGTCAGCAAGGCGTTCTTATTCACCATCTCATGGTGAGTTATGACCTGGGCAGGGCAGTGATACAGGGGAGGGGGAGGACGACGGTGGGACTAGTCCAGTGGGTCATGTTGCAAGTGGATGGCAGGTCCCAGGTCTCCTGTTAGCCTAAATCTCTTCCGCTGTCACGATGGCAGTCTTCTCCTAGGGAGGCCTGGCATTGTCAACTTCAATTTTAATTCCATTTCATTTAAAAATAAACTAGGTCAGAGAAAATTTAGGAAAAGACACGCCATAAAAATCAAAGACAAGAAGGTCAGACCTACCCTCGTGGCTTACAGTTCAAAATGTTCCGGAGCATGCTGAGATTAAAGGCTTGCATGGGGGAACAGAAAACAACCATGAGTAAATAAACCAAGATCTTAAAAGACTTATTTATAGCCTGTCCACAGCCAGGTAAGTGCCTGTCTGCGATGGGGACCCAGGGCCAAGCTTGCAACACACCAGATGAGCTTGGTGGGGTTGGAGTTCCAGGAACTGCCCTCGTCATCCTTGTGTCCTTTGTTAGGAGCAGCCTGGCAGCTAAGACAAATGACTTAGGTACGGGGAAAATGCTCCTCCTTGGCAAGGAACGTGAGCTTCGAGTCAGCTGGCCAGGCGGCAGCCTGCTTGGGAGGGTGTGGTTCCAGGCTGCCCAGCCCGAGGAAGCTGCAGGGAGAGGTGCCCTGACCAGGGGAGAGAGCGGGACCGGCAGGGACTTCGTAGAGAGCGCCTGGCAGGAGTAGGGGCTGCTAATGAGGCCTTCGGTTTTTCTTTTTTTTTTTTCGGTTTTTCTTTTTAAAGTAATTTGGGTTTGGTGAAGAACTATCCTTGACCTTTGGCAAGAGGAGGAGTGTTGTGGTTGAAGATAGTATGTTTTCTCATATCACTGCTCTTACGAGATCCTAGCGGAGGGAGGGAAACGAATGGGTCCCCATGGGCTGAACTCTGGATTTAGAAGAGAATGGTGGGCTTCCCTAGTGGCGCAGTGGTTGAGAGTCCGCCTGCCGATGCAGGGGACGCGGGTTCGTGCCCCGGTCCGGGAAGATCCCACATGCCGCGGAGCGGCTGGGCCCGTGAGCCATGGCCGCTGAGCCCGCGCGTCGGGAGCCTGTGCTCCGCAAGGGGAGAGGCCACGACAGTGAGAGGCCCATGTACCGCAAAAAAAAAAAGAGAATGGTGTCTCCCGGGTCACTCAGATCTGGAGGGGGTGGTACCCTAGAGCAGCACCGTCCAGGAGAACTTTCTGTGATGGTGAAATGTTCTGTATCTGTGCTGCCCAAAACCATGGCCACCAGCCACGTGTGGCTGTCGAGCCCTTCACTGTGGCGGGTGAGGCTGAGGACCTGAAATTTCAATTTTATTTGATTTTAATTAATTTAAATTTAAAAAGCCACACGTGGCTATTGGACAGTACAGCCCTGGGAATAATGCTCCTATTGAGAAGAAGTAGAAATGTTTTCTCTCACCCCTGCCCCTCACCCCAATCTAGAAAGAGCTTTCTTTCGACGTTGGGAATAGTGGGTAGAGTCAGTTCTGGGGCTAAATTCTGGCTTTACCATGTAAGCTGAGGGACCTTGGGCAAGGGACCTATGTAGGGCATGTAGTGTAGTACCTGGCACACAGCAGGCAATAAATGATAGCTGTGGTCACTTTAAAAATAACCTCCCCGTGTGGCTACTTGCACAGCATTTGTGGCAATGGAAGTTGTACCATGGAAGAAGAAGGAAAGGATTTTCCCCAAACAGAGCTCAGTCGCCATAGAAATTAACTGGTATGAAGCATACTGCAAGCTTAGAGGTTGAACTGATGTCCTAGGTCACATCTTGGGTTTTAACTTCAAGGAAAAAGAACTTTGAAGCAGATATGAACTCGTGCCCAGAGCCCCACATCACCATTCAGGTCTCGCAGTGCCTCCCAGCCCTCAGAGCCAGGTCTGGGGCCCCTCGTCCCTCACATTACATCGGCACACCTGCTGGCCGAGGGGCCACCTTTTCCCTCCACCACTCTTAGGTGGAATCTGCAGGCGTGCATTCATTCATTCAGCAGACATTGACCGAGGGCCTGTGATATGCTGGGCACTTGGGGTACAGAGATGCTGAAAACACAGTCCCTGCCCTTTGGAGCTCAGGACCTGGTGGGAAAACAAAAGTGAGCTAAATCCCTATCTGAAGTCAGCACGGGTGCCTTAGGGAGGGATGTTAGGGGTCACTGTCCAATCTGGGGAGACGGGAGGAGCTGGTGGGGGGCAGCATGGTCACCTAGCTGAGTGCAGAAGCCCTGGGGATGCAGCCCAGAGCCGGGGGAGCCGGAGGATGACCAGACTGATCTCTGCGAGGGACCACGCGGGTCCGGAAGAGTACCTGGGGATCGTTTGTCCAGCCGGTGTACCCTGGAGGTGGGGGAGGGAATACCGTGCCCTGGGCAGGACTCGGCTGAGCTGATGCCTCTTCCCAGAATGAGGTCACGGGCCAGCTGTTCTCGGCTGTGAGAAGCCCAGGCCTTTGTTAGGGCCGGAGTGCAGCTGTCACATGAGCCTTGTGGAGTGGAGGGGATCGCCATGCCCGCCTCTGGCCCTGCCTGTGGGAAGAAGCATGGCTGCATTTGCAGAATGTCTCTGCGCTTCCATTCTATTGTGCTCACCACAGCACGTGAAAACGGAAGGGGAGATGCGTGTGGGAGTGTATGTGTAGGAAAGCAGAGAAACGAAGTGACTCAGCAGAAGTCACACACACAGACGCAGGGCAGGGGCTGGAGGCCTCCCAGAGCCCTCGGCATTCCCACTGAGAGATGAGTTATAGGTGGTGTTGTCGGCTTTCCCCTCCCCCGTCCCCAGCTGTGTTCCTTTCTATGTTGGCACAGGTTACCTAGAAAATGCGGCTAAAAATATAGGTGACATCCTCAGGTATATTATTGATTTTGCCTTTGAAAAAATCTGGTCATTTACTAAGTGTCCCCATTTCTCCTGCGGCCTGCGGGAAGGATGAAAGCTGATCCCTCTGGCAGGTGACAACTTTTGCAACAAGAGCTGGAGAGCTGGGAGGCATGGCTGTTCCATGGACCAAGCTCCACAGGCCCCGGGGCAGAGTGTGGGTATGGGTTATCATCAGTGGTTAGGGGGTCCTTTTGTTAATGCCAGGGGAGCGCCCTGGGGTAAACATCTATCCTGGTGGGTTCATTTGTTTGGGCTTCCCAGAATTCCCTCCCTGTTGCCTCTATTTGAAATACCAATCTCCTTGGGATGTCTCACTCATGAAGCTCCACATACCTCGGTGAGGGGCTACAGGAGCAGCATGGATGGGGGTTGGGGTGGGGGTGGGTCCTTGAGAGGCTGAGAGTGACCCAGGGTGGACCTGCTGGGATGGACTGGTCCACGGGGTGAGCTGTGAAAGCTGGCAGGCCTGACCTTCAGGTCTGGTGTCGGGAGAAAGGGATTGGTTTTACTCCGAGGGTTGGACCCCACCTGGAATTCATTTCCCAGGCTCTGAAAGGCACACTGGGCGCCTGCAGAGTTGCAGGAGGGACCTCCTGAGGCTGGGAGGCCTGTGTCTTCTAGAGCCCCTCATCAGGGATAATGCCACCCTAACAGCCATATTCCACAGTCTGCTGTAAGGAGCCCTGCCTGGACCTTCCGGAACCCCAGGGGCTTCATCCACCTGGCAGCGACAGAGGGCCGGGAAAGAAAAGGCTAGCTGATGTTCCTCTAGCACTTTTAATTTAAAAACTCATTTTCCTTCTCCAGCTTCAGTTTCTTTGTCTATAAAATGTAAATTTGGAGGCATTTTCTCACTCTGGATGAGATGATTACTTCTCATCCTGGTCGGCACACTGTTTCTGTTTGCAGGTCGAGATACCAGAGTGATGCCAGGGAGAGTGAGCTGGGCCTGCCTACTGAGCTCTGCCACTCAGAGCTGTGGGTCGCAGGGGAGTAGGGAGGGTGGGGGAGGCGCTCTGGGTTTCAGTTTTATTTTACTTTCCCATCCATGAAATGGGATGATAATACCTGTATAACTTAGACGGCACAAGATTATTGGAAGGCTCCCGCGAGATAATATATGACAAAGGACATTGTAATAAGAGAAGTAATATATAAGTAAGCGGTATTATTAAATGACATTTGGAAACGAATTCAGCCCCGCCCTGTCCACGCCAGCTGGTTCCCCTGGGTGTTATAAATGGCTCTTTCACAGGATATCTTTGTCTTGACTATAATGGGCTCAGTTCTGAAGAGGACTGGACCGTAGGGGTGTAAGTGTCTCCTCTATTCCCCCATTCATCCTAATAGCATAACCCGAGCCATATGGTAGGGTGGGCTCTGTCTTCCACCCATGAAACCCCTGCTCAGAAAGGCTCTGCCGGGGGCGTTGCTGCGTTCACTCCCTTCTCTCTCTTGCAAGGAAAGGCTCTGTCCCTCCAGCGCCCCCAGACCCAGTTTCCTAGGCGCTGGGGTCAGTTTGCGGGCCTGACCAGGCTATTAGCCCTGCCGTAGGATGAGGGAGGTGAGGATGAGGCTCTAACTGCTGAACTGGGGCCTCGGGGAATCCTGAACCGGGAATGGCTGGGGCAGGGGGCCCGGAGGGAGTTGGGGCGACCCGACCCTTGGGGCGTTCTGTCCCCGAACCGGCCCCCGCCTGGTTCCCTCTCCTGTCCCGGCGGGCGCTGGGCTCGCAGCCCTCCCTGTTCCGCCAGCCGGGTTGTTGGCGAGTTAGACCTCCCAGCCTCACGGGGCTGCTGTGCGGCTGCGGCGACGTCGGCGACTGCGGCGTTGCGCAGGAGACGGAGGGCTGGGGAGGCGGTGCCACGTGAGTCCCGGGCCAGGCCAGGACTGGGGCCTCGGCGGGAGATTACCGTATTTACCGAGGCCAGTGCCGGCCCGTGGGGGCGGGTCACTGCAGGCGCGCTACCGTATTTGCCGGGAGCCGCGCAGACCCTTTCCGGGAGTGGCGAGCGCAGCGACTTAATTATGTATTTATCCATGGTTGCGTGGTTCCCCCCGGGCGCTGCGGGAGCGGGAGGGCGTGGGTTGCATGAATTCCCTAAGGGAGCCGGTGCTTGTAGCGGAATGGGGTGGGTTGCTGCAGCAGAGTGGGAGGCCTACATATCTTAGTGGGGGTGGGGTTGCGACGCAGAGTTTACCATATTTCTCCAGGATCGCTCCGGCCTCAGGAATTGGCAAGGCTGTGCGCGGGGGGGTCGGGTGGGTGGGGTCAGCTCTTTTGATTAATGCCGGTATTTGAAAAGGACAGCGGTGCGGGAGGCTGGCCGTCTTTATGAGGGTGAAGGAGAAGGGGCGCGGGAGGCGCTGCGGAGAGTTACCGTATTTGCCTTGGGCAGCGCAGACTCGAGGAAAGAGCCACTGTTGGAGGCCGGAGGAACTGGGGCGCAGCCTGGTCTGTGAGTGTGGGATGGGATGGAGGAACCTTGGGGAGACGGGGGGGGGGCAAGGCCTTGGACCCTCTCGGCGGGCGGGGCCCTTGGTCAGGGGTATAGCTGGGGAGTGGGGAGGCTGCCCAGAGACAAGGCCGGGCTGAGATTGGCCAAGGGGACGGCGATGATCTGTCTTTGCAAATGTCCATGCAGCTGCCTGGGGAAAGACTTGTGGGTGGGGTCTATTGCAAGTAGTACTTGTCCCCTTCTCCTGGGTGAGTGGCGTTCCACCCCAGCCTGAGGGTAGGGGGAGACAGAGGCGGTGCCTCTGGGACCCCACTCTGCCGATAGGTCCACTGAGCTTGTGGTTAGCAGAGAGATCTGGAAGTGTGGAGAAGGTCTGCATGGAGGACCAGGGGAAGGGCCAGCAAGCTTCCCAGTTGGGGGTGGGGGAATGCAGGGGAGTGGCCAGCTCCTTCCCTCCCAGCAGGCCCCAGCGCTCTACAGAGCAGGAGCCTAGGGTTTTGGGGAGGCATGAGGGTGGTGGCCGCAGACAGTGCCCCAGAAGCAGTGGTCCTTTGGGTATTGATGGCTCTGTGATGGTGGCCAGGAGGGTGGTGGTCTTGTGTGTGTGTGTGTGTGTGTGTGTGTGTGTGTGTGTTTTGAGGGGAACTTAGCTGGTGAGCAGGTACTATGTTGAAAAGAGATTTTGACACTGAGGAAACTTAAGGCCTAGTCTTGGTTCACCTTGCTGTGTGACCCTGGGCAAGTAAGTGGGCCCCACTGAGCCTTAGTTTCCCCATCTATAAAATGGGGTTCAATAAACCTGCCCCTTCTTCGGGGCTGTTGTGAGGACAGTGGGAAACAATTTAAGAGGAACACAGTGCCCTGGGAAAGAGGATCCTTAGGAGAACCAGTGTGAACGGGATGGAACTGAACTTGGGGGTGTTTGTTGAGCTTTGAGTGTTCCTCAGCCTTGGGCCAGGCTTTGCTGGGGCGATGCCAGATGCCAAGAGGAATCAAGCTGAGACCCGCCCTTTGGGAGCTCACAGTGTGGTTCAGTGACTTGCAAACCTTTTACAGGCATGCCTCATTTTGATAAACAAAGAGCTGCTGAGGTTACTTGCAAGTTTACGGGGCTTTTGTTTCTTTTTTGAAGCTTTGCAAAAATATCTTTAAACCACTGTTGACCCACCCTTCCCTCCAGATTGGGGATGCACCTCCCTACCCCCCTTCTTGAGAATCTGGTTGGAGAGATAAGACGCATCCAGGTTCAGTATAACTTAAAATACCAGGAGTCCCTGAATATCGCTCATCAGCGTTTATCCAAGGCCTTGTGCGGCAGGCCCAGTGCTTGATGCGGGGCATAAAAGGAAGCAGCTCTGGGGCTTCCCTGGTGGCGCAGTGGTTGAGAGTCTGCCTGCCGATGCAGGGGACACGGGTTCGTGCCCCGGTCCGGGAAGATCCCACATGCCGCAGAGCGGCTGGGCCGGTGAGCCATGGCCGCTGAGCCTGCACGTCCGGAGCCTGTGCCACAACAGTGAGAGGCCCGCGTACCGCAAAAAAAAAAAAAAAAAAAGGAAGCAGCTCTGTCCTTTAGGTGCTCACAGGGCAGGGAGACAGAGGTGGTCTGACAGAGCAGCATGCTGCGTGATGAGTGAGGGTCATAGGGTTGGGTCACGTGGCTCCGGAGGGGCTGGAGAGGTCAAGGAAGGATTCTAGCAGGAAGTGTCATTTTAGAAAGGCCTGAAGGAGGGGTAGGATGTGATTAGGGGTAGAGGAGAAAGAAGGACATTCCAGCAGGGGGACACAGGCTCGAACAGGACTGGAGAGTGGCAGGTTCTGGAAGCCGTGGGACCCCAGGGGAGTGTCCTCCCTGAGGCTGGGGCCTGGATGATCCTCGGGTGCCCCCTGACTACTCTCTCTGCTTCTGCCTCCCCAGGGGCCGGTGATTGCAGCCGGAAGTGCCCATGACCGAACTGGCGTCCTCCGGGGACAGGTCCCCTGTGGGGGACGGGGAGGAGGGCCTGGGGGACGATCGAGGCCTGGTCATCCACCACCCTGCGGAGGAGCAGCCGCACCGCTGCCCACTGTGCGGCCAGACCTTCTCGCAGCAGCCCAGCCTGGTGCGGCACCAGAAGGCGCATGCCGGAGTGGGCCGCGCGGCCGCCTTCGTGTGCCCCGAGTGCGGCAAGGCCTTCAGCGTCAAGCACAACCTCGAGGTGCATCAGCGCACCCACACGGGCGAGCGGCCCTTCCCCTGCCCCGAGTGCGGGCGCTGCTTCAGCCTCAAGCAGAACCTGCTCACGCACCAGCGTATCCACAGCGGCGAGAAGCCGCACCAGTGCGCGCAGTGCGGCCGCTGCTTCCGCGAGCCGCGCTTCCTGCTCAACCACCAGCGCACCCACGCGCGCATGCCCGCGCCGCACCCGCGCCGCCCCGGCGTCTTCGGGGAGCGGAGGCCCTACTTCTGCGCCCGTTGCGGCAAGAGCTTCGCGCGCGAAGGCTCGCTCAAGACCCACCAGCGCAGCCACGGCCACGGGCCCGAGGGCCAGGCGGCCCATTTAGGCCGCGTGCTCTGATGCGCGCTGGACCTGCTGCCTCCGGCTGTTTTCTGCCCCAGAGCCGCATCCGTGACCTCTGGAGATGGCGCTGGGCTTCGGCCCCCTCTCTGGCTGGGATCCCGGGAGACTGGGAGGGCTGGCTTGGGGTCTCAAAGGAGTGGGCCGCCTCCTTCCGCTCCTTCCCCAGGACCCTCTGGCTGGCTGCACACGGCTGCTTTGGGCCCCTGCGTTGGTTTTCCTCCGCAGGCCCACCCAGCTTAGAGCAGGTGAGACCCGGCGCTGGCCAGAGCCCGTCTCAGACTTGTTCGGGGTCAGGTGGGGACAGGTGAGGGAGGTGGGGCGTAGTGAGCTCCTAGGTCTACGACTAGCTTCTTACTAGATCTTCATTTCCTGAATGTCAGAGTTGAAAGCGACCTGGAGAGGGTACTCTCCACAATCCTCAAGCCCACCCCCAGCCCCGAGGGTCTCCTGGCACCAGCGCTTACTATTTGGTACCCTTGAGAAGTCATTTCACTTCATGACCCAGTTTGCTTATCTGTGAGTTGGGGCTAACGATGAGGGGTCCTCCTCCCTGGTATATTGTGGGGATTGTAATTGCTGTTAGCAGACAAGAGAGGGTGACGTCATTAATTGAGCGCCCCAGTGTGCCAAGCAGTGTGCTGCGCAGGGCTCTCGGGAAGAGCACAGACACAGGCCCTGTCCCCTGGGGTGCTCGCTCATACAGGGTGATGCCGACTGTCGGCTCTTGTGGGGACAGACTGCAAAGTGCTCTGGGAGGCGAGGTGAATGGTGTCGCCCAAGGCAGTTTGATGGCTTGAACTGGGTCCTGGGGACGAACAGGGAGAGCAAGGGTGTGGAAGGTTTCCAAGGCAGGGGTCCTACCTTGGAGACTCACATTTGCTCTACAAAGGACTTTGCGGCAGAGAGAGGGGACACTGAGATGTTTAATGGGAAGAGCCCAGTGATCTCAAGTGCGGCTCAGGGACAGCTGGAAGCACTGAGGAGAGATGGAAGTGGGACGGGCAGGAGCCTCGAGGTCCTGGGGTCATCTGGGCAAAAGAAAGGGAGGCTCCCCAGGAGGCTTGGCCGAGGTCATGCAGTGAGAAAGGGGAGAGCCAGGACCCGTCCCCCGGGCCTCAGATTCCAAGTTGATGCTCGGAGGCCTGGGCTTCTCAGCCATTTGGCAGACAAGGACACTGAGACTCACCCAAGCTGACCCTAAATCACACGTAGGAGGTAGCGGTGCAGCGGTAGAAACCTGGACCTCATTTTGGGTTCTGGACCCCAAGACCCTTCATTTCTACTGGATCATTGTTAAGAGAGGCTCTTACAGGTGGGAAAATGGGACTTTGGGGATGTGGGAATGTGAGCCTGGGCAGGGGCATTGCTAGGGGCTGTGGGTGTCTGAAGGGGACATGGCATCCTGGGTAGTGGGTTGGGAGGAAGGAAGCTGGGGGCTGGCAGAGGACCTGCTCTCATAGAGCCCTTGTTCCACGCCCAGTCCCATGCTCAGCGCTGGAGACCCATCCCTGCGCTCTGCCCTTCCTTAGAGCCATGGGGCTTCTCAGCGATCAGTTGTCCTCTGCCTGCTGCCCCTAGGTGGCTGTTGCACTGTGGACTAGTACTTAGTGGTGGAGATTAAGAGATTAAATCGGGACCCAGGACATCTGGAGCCAGTCACCAAGTGCCCTGAACCCACGTTGTCTCATTGGTAAATGGGATTAGTAATGCTTGGGTGCTTGGTAGGGGCTAAGAGGAATCAAAGCCCTGGATGGGTGCAGGGGGCCCATGACTGCTCCCTCGTAGCCCTGGAGAGTTGGCTGACGGGGGCTGGGCAGGGCCACGTCCCACTCCAGACCTGACCCTGGTCTCTTTGCCTTTGTGAACAGATGAGGACTTTACAGGACCTCTGGGCTGTGCGCAAGGCACATCTGACACAGTGACTAGGAATGGGGCCCTGGGCCAGTGCCCCGGCATGAGGACACGTCCCCTAAGAAGACCTACCTCGGGAGGTGCCAGCAGAGGGACACATGGAGCCTGGAATTGGAGGCAGGTTCTGCGCCCTGGTGGAGAAACTCCCCGGACCTGCTGGGAGTCACAGCCGCAGAAGAGCTCGTGCTGACTGCCTGGCTGTGAACCTCCGCTCTCCCGTGGCAGCAGGGACGGTGCCTGTGTGGGACGCCTGCTTCCCTGCTCCCGCCTGGCCCACCAGAGACGGGAGGTGAACCGCCTAGGAGGACACAGCAAGTTGGTAGCAGACTCGGCTCCAGAAACAAGACCTTCCCCCGGGCGTGCACATACCTGCAGGCTTCACTCCTTTCAGAGCAACGTTCTTAACACTTTTGGGGTCGTGAAGCCCTCTGACAAGATGGCAAAGGTTATGAACCTTCTCCCCAGGAAGACACAGATAGTCACGTAGATGCAAGAATCTACGAGCAATCCCAGGAGCTCCTGGACTTCAGGCCGAGATCCTTGGCCCCGGGACTAACCCGCCACTCCTTCCTTACCTGACACAGAGCCCCGGGTCAGGGCCTCCATTCGAGTAGCATTTCATCCCCTGCCCTCCCCAACCCCTGCCCTTCCTTCCCTTGTTCAGGAATAAAGAATTCTGAGGAGGGGCCTCTTTTAGTCACTCTTTTCTCCCAGACCTAACAAACAGCGCATCAGGTTTCTGGAGCCTCACTTCCCCAGATGTTGCTGGAGGCTCGCTGGGCTGGGCTGGTCTTCTCTGGGTTGCGGTTGCTTGCTGGGGCTGTACCTGGCTGGCGCTCGGCAGGATAGGGGGAGGGCTGGGGAGGAAGTAGAGCCTCCCTGCTGGGGCCCCCTGGCTCCGGGCAGGGAGAGAGGCTGGCAGACAAGCTTCTGTGTGTCCGGACTTCACAGCAGAACAGGAGGAGGAGGGGTGCCGGGCCAGCAGCAGGGCTTCACACCTGCGCAGGTTGGCCTGGAGCTCCCCAGCCTCCCCAGACTGGACCACCCATCAGAAAAGGTGGGACCGACTAGGGCGGGGCTGGGTTTTGATGACAACCAGGCTTCATGAAGTAGCTTATGGTTAGTGAAACCCTTGGAGGTGGAGAGAGGCCTTTAGTCCTGAAATGTAGGTCAAATCCCAGGGACGTGAGTGCTGCGGGGCGTGGGGGAGTTGTGTTGAGGTGAGAGGTCCCAGGGCTGAGCTGAGGTTTGGTCAGGGTTGCCAGGAGGCCCCCATGGGTTCCTGTCTCCAGTGCAGTTTGCTTGTAGGTTCTTACCGTCTGCCATATGCCAGGCTCTGGGATAACAGGCTGCTCTGGGGGAGGTCAGAGAAATGAGGCCCTGTGCTTCCAGAACTTCCTTCTCTCTGATCCTTGGCCCAACCCAGGGGACCTTCACAGATGCCCCTTCTCCTCTCATCTCCCTCCTCGGTCCTGCCTCTGTTTCCCCTGCTGTTGCTCTGGCCTGTGCCCCCCCACCCCCCAGCTAAGCCCTCTTCTCCACCAGGCTGCCTTCCCGACCACCAAGCCCACGTTCCGCCCTCCTCTGAACAGTCCCCGTGTTAACACACTGTCACACGCCTGAAATTCGTGTGGAGCCTTATGCAGTAAGTCCCCTACACATGAACCTTCAAATTGCGAACTTTCAAAGATGTGAGCGTGCATTCCATCAGCGTCAGGCGTGAGTGAAATTGCAGCTTGCCCTCCAGTTGTGTTAGCTGGGTACCTAAGCTAACTTTGCTGGACTTATGAACAAATTGGACTTACGAACATGCTCTTGGAACAGAACCCGTTCGTATGTAGGGGACTTACGGTACTCCCGTTTCCCGTGTGTGTGTGTGTGTGTGTGTGTGTGTGTGTGTGTGTGTGCGCGCGCGCGCACGCGCGTGTGCATGTGAAATCTCCACTGAGACTGGGAGCTCCCTGAAGGCAAGGGCTGTGTCATTCCTTCTTGAACCCCAGCAGGGTCTAGCACAGGGCTGGGCTCACAACACTCAGGAAGTAGTTGCCGACTGGCTGGTGGGTCCAGTGCTGGAGGCTGTGGGATGGGAGGTGATGGGAGGTGTGACGGGGAGGGGGACGTGGGTCCTCTGGTGAGTGTATCTTATTGGCTGTGGGCTGGCTTTCCTGGGCAATAACAGCTGCAGGAGGCCTTGGGTTCTCCCCTCCTCGGGGCAGTGGGACAGGAGAGACCCCACCCCCATCGACTCCGCAGGAGCGTGTGTCAATGGATGTCCAGGCTGGACGTCTCCATAGGTTGCTGACGCTTGCTGGAGCTGACCAAGGGGAATCAATGTTCTCTCAACATCACCTCATGTGAGGAGTGGTCATTTGGGGCTCAGCTGGGAGCAGGGAGGTGGCCTCCAGCTCCACCTCCATCATTTCTTGAGGAGTTACGTTCAAGGTCACATAGCTCCAAAGCCACAGCAGTGAGTCAGCTCGGGCTCCCCCATATGGATAATGCCCACTACTTGGATGTGCGTAATGGATACTGGGGCCCCTTGGGGTAGTCCCCCGGCAGCTTGCTCAATGCACAGCGAGGCAGACCTGCTGAGAACCTTCGAGGTGGTTCCCTTAGCACCTGAGTGCTGGGCCGCTCCAGGGATGGCCCGTCCCCACCCAGAGGCCCTGGCTGGTCGCGTCTCTCTCCTGGCTCTGGTCTCCTTATCTGTTCCTCCTGCCTCGTGGGTTGTGAGAATCGGATGAATGTGTATATACACTGTGTGCACTGCAAAGCCCCACGTAGGGGCAGGGGTGCCGTCATTGTCCTGCCACTGTCTCGTGCTGCGGGTGGGCCTGGCCACTGGCACTTCACAGCCTGGGAGTCTTCTGCAGCAGAAGGCTCTGGAGACTGGAGTTACACCAGGCCTGCCACCGCGTTGCCGAGACTCGGATGAGCGATCTTCCTCCTGTTCCTGGTGAGGGGCTGGGCCTGCTCATAGCCAAGGCTCACTCCAGAACCTTCCTTCTGTGCCTTACTCTTTGATTCAGACTTGGGGTTGCATCAATTGTCTCTATCAGCCAAAGAGGGTCCTGAGTGGTAGTAACGCAACGACAGGGTCTTTTGAGACCCGGGGCTGATGTAGGTGAATCAGGCAGGATCCTTGTTCAACTCAAATCCACGAACACCATAAAGGGGAACCGCAGGCTCCGTAACTGAGAAGGGCGGGGACTTGACCGTGACGCCGGCTCTGCTCTCCTCCATGTCAGCTGCCTCCCCACCTCGCGGGGCAGGAAGGCGCGGGCAGTAGCTGGGCCCTCCGCCAGCTCAGGCTCAGCTCCTTCCCTGATGGTCTGAACCCCTTGCAGGGCTGACTGTCGTCGGCTGGAATCGGTCGATGCTTGCTGCCAGGGCAGTGACTGCACCAGGCCTGGGGAACGCCACGCACTGGATGGCCAGGCCTGGGCACACACCGCCTGGAGAGGGTCAGCTCCGCCTGGAGCCTGTGCTCTGTGCGTGGGGAAGGGATGCTTCACCAGGGAAGCCCAGAAGCGAGAAGGCGGGCGAGTGGACTCCAGGTGGCTGCCCAGCAACCTGGTGGCTTGTTATAACCGCAAGATCGCAGCCCCGCTCCCGACTCTAATCAGAAACGACATTCAAAAAAATATATACAAAAACACCACCGGGTTTTTTATTTATTATTATTTTAAAATATTTATTTATTTTGGCTGTGCCGGGTCTTAGCTGGGGACACAGACTCTTTAGTTGGTGGCATGCATGCGGGATCTAGTTCCCCGGCCAGGCATCAAACCCGGGCCCCCTGCACTGGGAGTGCAGAGTCTTATGCACTGGACCACCAGGGAAGTCCCAGAAACTGCCTTTTAACAAGATGCCCAGGCCGTCATCGTGTGTGCAGGTGGTCTGCCCTACCTCACTTCCCCCCTCTTTGAGGGGGACCTTTTGACTCCGACATGCCATCGACCCTACTGTCCAAAGGGAGCAAACTGAAGCGTGTTTTTTCTTAGGCAGCTTGTGAGGTGTAGAGACGAGACGCTGCCTCCACCAGGGTCCAGGATCCCATCCACGGTCGCCCCCCCTCCCCTGCCCTGGGGACCAGAGCGTTCATCAGCCATGCCCATCCTGACCTGGCCGGCCCAGCCTGGCTTTATGAGAATTTTCCATTAGCACAGAAGACAGCACAGGAGAGAAAAGCCCAGGAAAAGGCCAGCCCCGAGAAAGCAGAGCAGTTCCTCCACCTGGTCTCTTGCACCCACCTTATGAGCCCCCTTCAAAACATCACGAAGCCTCACTTTCCTCACCCTAATAACGCCCAAGTGAGAGGATGTGTGCCATGGATGCTGTGTGCCCGGCTGGATCCCCTTTCCAAGCTATTGTGGGCATCGGCTGTTAATGGTTCACAGCTGCCTAGCTCAGGGGGCTGCCCCCGGTCCACCCCTACCACTGCGAGTGACTGCTGACCCCAGAGGGGCCAGCTCCAAGTGCAGCCTCTGCTCGGGGCTCCCGAGGGAACAGGCGACACTGGGTTCCTGTTGAGACCACGTCCCTGGCTCCTTCCCCCACCTGAGCCCACTTCCCACTTCCCTTCTGCAGCGAGCACCTCCCAACAGTTCTCGCTCCCCTTGAACAGAATCCTTGACTCAGGCTTTGCTTCCGAGGACCCCAACCTAAGGCAGTGTCTCAGCGAGATACACGCTCCAAGGATCTTGCACAGACAAGAGATCGTGACTAGGATCTTTGTTTAGTTCTGCGTGGTGCTGTAGGCTTTCATCAAAGAGCTGCTGGTAGATGGACAGATTGGAGGTGGCCATGTGCTTTGTGAGATGGTGAAACCCCACTGCTTTTCTCGACCTAGCTTTAGACTTGGGTAGCATTTCAAACGCAGATGCTTCAGACCAGCACGTTAGCTGTTGTGTTTAATAATAATCATTTTAAAAAGGCTGTTGTTGGTCAGAACACCTGGGGACAGGGGCCTCTGAGATGTGGGAAAGACCCGAGGGGCTGAGCTGGTCCTTCCCCAGCCTGTGGAAATCTGCTAGGAGACAAGCAGCAACTCCTGAGATCAGGTTTCAAGCATGTGGGTTCAAGAGAGCCTTAGTTTATAGGAGCAGCGTGAACTGTGTCGGTGTGTGGGACAAGAGGCGTTCCAGAGCCAGGTGGCATGATGGTGCATGTGGGTCCTGAGAGGTGGCAGAGACAGTGGCTGAGGGACGGAGGGGACAGGCAGCCTCCACTGCATGCAAGCACTCCCGGAAATTACTGGGGGTGTGTGCGTTGTGGTCTCCTGCAGGAAGAATGGACGCCATAGAGTTCCGGGGGCTGGGGAGCGCTCAATCTTTATTTGCACAAAAGAAGCAGCATGCTTCAGGCTGGTGGAGCGGGACACCATGGCCGTCGCTTTCCCACCTCGTCTCCGCGCTAGCTCGTGGTGCCTGCTGCTTCGAGGATAATGCTTGTTCTCTCTGCTATTGCCCTTGACATCTCCGCCCTCTGCTCTGTGTGTCCCTCTCTGTCTCCCCCACAGAATCCCAGAGACAGATTTGGTGTGACTAGTCACCATCCCTTGGACAGAGTTCATTCTCCCCACACTTCGATGTGGCTTGTGAGCCTTGAGATGGCATCCCGGGGGCAGGTACACTCCGGAACCAGTAGCTCCGGCCAGGGTGATGGCAAAATATGAATCCCGGGAACTCTGAGGGATGCCTGAGCACATGTTCCCAGGAGGGGACTGACAGGGTCCGGGGCTGTCTGGCTTGTCCAGCCGGTGCTCTGGTTTCTCCCTCACTTTTACTGTGCAAATCTCTCTGCAGCCCCCCAGTGACCCGGTAGATGGCCTTGTTGCATGAATGTTGGTTTTGATTGGATTCATGCCCTGCGAAGGATGCTGGAGTTGGAACAAAAATATCCCTTTTGGATCTTCTTTCTGTTCCTATTGCCTCTCCCTGGTTGGTATATGTTTATAGTCACTTCTCCCTAATGCCTGGAGAGGGTTATATAAAATGGGACTGCTCTCTTGGCCATCACTGGAGCATATTCAGGAAATCTTGCAATATGAGAAAA